TATATACAGTCATGTGCCATGTAACATCTGTTCTGGCAATGTCTCACCACACATATGTTCATGGTTCCAAAAGTTTTTGTTTTTTTTTTAAAGGGAAAGCAGCACTCCTTTTGTTTATTATTTCCCCTTAATGGTTTTAAAGACCCCAAAACCCCAGAGTGAACCAGCATTGGGGCTCCAGGGCGCATCCCAATCCCTGCAGTGGCTCCTCCTCTGCCTCCTCCTTTCCCTCCTCCTGGCTTCGTTCACCTGCCCAGCAGCCACGCAGCCTTTCACTCCCGGAACAGGGCAGGCGGGGCTCCTCTGCTCCTGCTGCGGGGCGCTGGTGCGGGTACAGGCCCGACTGGGCGCTCGTGGGCTCCCAGCTCCAGGCAGTGGCGGCGGAGGCTGCGCTTGATCTGGGAGCAGCCTCACCAACAGGGCGGCAACAGCCAAAGCCGACGCCGCAGTGGCGCTCCCAGCACCTGCATACCCACTCCCCAGCCAGTCCCCACAGCCACCTCTCCCATCCCCGTGCAGCCCCCTCTCCACCCCATCCAGATGTGTGCAAAGTCCCCACTAGGCCTGCAGCTGCACACTTGCAAAGCCGGCCTCCTGTATCCAATAGATACAGCTCTCAGGCTTAGTCCGGCTGGCTCCCATAAAATTTAATACAATAGACTTTATGGGGTTGGTTGATGACTACAGATTGTATGGGAACTGCCTGTATATAATTGTGTTCGTACAACTTCCAAATTGCATAAAGTCCTATTTCACAGAATTTATGTGGACGTTAAGTGATACATGACCATATATGTATGTGTGTGTGCAAATGTAGTTACCAATAGGGGGAGAAAGAAGATAGATTGGAGGGAACCAAGTTAGAAGTTGAGACTTCTTTGAATATATCATATGTTGTCAATTTGATTATGGAGTCATTTAAACGTTTTTACAAATTTATAAAATAAAACAATTCCGCCCAAAATAATAAACGAAACAAATGTGCCTAAAATTATATCCAGTTGGAGGCATAACCATAGAGAGGAACTATTCCAAGTCACATAAAATGTACTAATTTATGCCTCCTTAGTGAAAAAATGAACTGCAATACTCATCTGAAACTGTTGACAGCAATCATTGTCAGTGACAGTGTTGATACTGTTATTTTGAGGCTGTTGTGTGGGATAAAATATTGTGGGATAATGCAAGCCTATATTTATGTAATTTATAATTCTATTATTCCATTTGTTGCTTAGGTCTGGGATTCTCTGCTAGAGACAAAGGAGATATAAGTTAAGTAAAATCTGTGTAGTCCTGTTTTTAATCAGAATTATCAGTATAAACTCAAGGTATTTTATCTAAGAAAAAACAGAAGTATTTCTGAGCTCCGCTAACTGAAAAGGCTGGAAACAATAAGCAAACCAGTAGAATATGCACATCTAGTTTCCAAAAATACTATTTCCTCCTAAAAGGGACTTGGACATCTAGAAGAAAAGGTACCTGTTTCAACCAAACCAAAATCAAACCCACTGCTGTTGAGCCAATTCCGAATCGTATCAACCCTATAGGACAGAGTAGTACTGCCTCATAGGGTTTCCAAGGCTGTAATCTTTACGGAAGCAGGCTGCCACATCTTTCTCCCTCGGAGTGGCTGGTGGGTTCAAATTGCTGGCCTTTTGGTTAGCAGCCTAGTGCTTAACAACTGCACCACAAGGGCTCCTTGAATAAGCAACAAACCATACAAAAACTAACACACTATTGGTCACCATTGTAGGATGCTAGTGAATTAATATTATTTTGAAAATTAGTAAATAAGAGAAAAGAAATCAGCATTTTCTGCATTTCTCATACCAACTGTACCACTGGTTATACAAGTAGTAGATAAGGGGTAATTTCTCTTTTAAAAAAGCATTCCCATTAATAAGTGAAAAAGGAATGATGGAATTACAATATTACAGTTTTGCAACTTCTGTGAATTCATGGAGGTAAGCACTGGTCATCAAATCTGAAAATCACAGGAAGGGACACATTATGACACTACGTGCTTTCTGATGGAAGAGCACACTACTACCTATGAAGTACTTTGCCAAAAAGAATCAAGCCTCAATCTAACTGAGCATCTACCACTTTACGGGAAATAGGACAGAGGATCATGCTGAATGACACCAAAGGGATGCAATTGGCACACTTGTTTCTTCAGTA